ATTAGGTTCAAGATTAAAGAGTGTATTACAATCGTCCACCAGGAGTATGGTTGTACTATAACCGAAAGAAAGGCATATCTCGGTCGCAAACGTGCCTTTCAACTTATTTATGGCGACTGGGATAAGTCTTTTTCATCGCTGCCTAGGTACATGGCAGCACTGCAACACTTTAACCCCGGGACTGTTGTTGAATGGAGGCTTGAGCAGAGTCCGGACAGACCAGAATATATTTTCAACTATGTGTTCTGGTCATTTAAACCAGTAATTGATGGTCTTGTGCATTGTCGTCCTGTAATTTCCATAGACGGTACTCATGTCTATGGAAAATATGATATTAAGCTTTTGATTGCAGTTGCAATAGATGCCAACGGACAAATATTTCCACTAGCTTTTGCCATTTGTGCCAACGAAAGCGAAGAGACGTGAACGCTTTTCTTGAACCACTTGAAGTAGCACGTTGTCAAACAGCGTTTAGGTATTTGTCTAATATCTGATCGACATGGTGACATTTTAAGTTTTGTACGACACTTGCCTGAATGGCAGGAACCCTATGCATACCACCATTACTGTGTGAGGCACCTGAAGGCCAATTTCCAGAAGAAATATCCTGATAAGGCCTTGTATGACTTAATGTGGATGGCTGCAACTGAGCACCAGCAGTGCAAATTCATGAGGCGCATGGAAGCGATCCGGCAGCTAGATCCACGAGCCTATACTTGGCTGATGGGACATGAGCTTCACATGTGGACATTGCATGCTGATGGCGGCAGAAGATGGGGAGCCCTAACTACAAATGTGTCGGAGTCATTCAACGGCTTGTTGAAGTCTGCCCGTGGATTGCCTGTCACTGCCATGGTCCGCATGACATTCAAACAGAGTGCGGCGAGGTTAGTTGAAAGGCATGGATCTGCATCGGCATTAATGGACAGGGGTGTTCAATTTATGTCAATATTCATGAGAAGATTTGAAAGGTACAGTAGGTGAACACATTGACATTCATTTCTATAGTACGATCATGACCGGGGTATTTTTGAAGTTAAGACCGCTATCCGCGAACACTGTAGAAATAATCTACAGACGGTGAATGAAGCCAGAAGGTTGTGTTCATGTGGGAAATGGACCATCTACCACATGCCGTGCGCACATGCATTGAAGTGTTTTCAACAAGTTGGTTTTGGGGCAACCAACTATATTGATAGGCAATACAGTGTTGCTGCATACGTAGACACGTATAGTGGGCAGTTGCAGCCATTAGGTGCTGAGCATTATTGGCCGCCGGAACCTTTTAAGATGGTATGTAACAAAGACTATTTGCGCAAGCTACAAGTGCAAAAGAGAACGCGTATACGGAACCAAATGGATGTTGGTGACACTGTTTATGCGCGTAAATGTGGCATATGTTCGCAAACAGGACACGACCATCGTAAATGTCCTTCAGGTGGAGTGCGTGGCGGTGGTAATCCAGCTCCTGATGCAAGTTCGTCGAATGTACCCAACTATCAAGGATACCCTTAGTCTTTTGTTTTCGTATTGTTTTTCGTAATACGTGTCTGTACTTGTGTATGTTGCAATATCTATCAAATAAAATTATGTTCCATAATCTTGTTACATCTTATTTTTTAACATGATCTTTTGATATAGTTGTTCAAATATTAAACTTATTGGTGTTTGTAAAAAATAGAAAAAAATTAATATTAGAAAATAAATTTAATATGTAAAGCGCGATATAATACTACATTTTTTTTGAGCTGTCTTGTCATTCTGAAAAAGCTGAAAACCATGTGAAAAAGCAGTTTTCTTGCAGAAAAATTTAATATATAAAGCGCGGTATAATACTACGTTTTATTGAGTTGTCTTGTCGTTCTGAAAAAGCTGAAAACCATGTGAAAAAGCAGTTTCGTTTCAGAGAAATTTAATATGTAAAGCGTGGTATAATACTACATTTTATGTGAAATCTTGCCTATAAATAACGGGCGCATTCTAGTTATTTTCTGTGCTTAACAATAACCAATAACAAATATTTTCATAAAACCAAAGTTTCTCTTTAAGAAATGTCTCAACAACCCCTATATGTCCCAAGGTGCTATTACGGAGAAAAATGTAGTTTGTACAATTGGTGGGAAGAAGGTGGACGCCGCTACTGGGCGTGTATGAAAGAAGGAATCCAAGGTTTGTGATGTGTGCGAAACCTACACTCTTCGGTTTTTGTGTATGGGTGGGGCCCAAAAAATTATTATTTTTTATATCGTG